AAAAAAAAAAAAAAAAAAAAAAAAAAAAAAAAAAGCATATTCTAAGAAGACAAAGTTAATTAAAAGTAGACAAAAAGTATAAATAAACTGAATCTCTAGAGGGTCAGAAGTTTCAGTAACAAGATTACATCTCTATGAAATTCTTAAGAGGCTGGAGAAAACGTACAGGAACATCGGATCTCCTCTGGAAATTTATTGGGGGTTTACAGAAATTCTGTACCTTCCTTTTGGTACTCACAGTCTGATGAAGGAGACTAACATGAAAATAAACAAATACAAAGAATATGGTAAGAGTTCTAACAAAAATAAGAGACTTGATGACTGCTTGACTACTAGAGTTAAATAAAAAAAGTAAGGATAATTGTGAGATTTCTTACTTTAATGGCTGGGTGGCTGTTGTTTCTACCAAATAAAATACAGTCAGCTAGAGGAGAATGAAAGAACTCACTGAATTTATTTTGGGGTATCTTTATGTGTTGTTACTATAATGCATTAACATAAAATATGTAGTATATTCAAAAAAGTGCATAGAAAATACCATGATATTCAAATAGAGTCATCTACTCTGAAGTGGCAGATTACAGACATGAGTCTTTGTGAACTGACCCAAAAACAAGCAAGCTATCAAAGCCCAGGCTTCAGAAGGAATTAGGTATTTATCTGGTTCAGAAACAGATAGAATAATAGTGCCAACAGGTAGTTACTGGACTTACTAACCGATGGGTTTATATGTTGCAGCTTTAATCATTTGCTAAAATTAGGTAGTTACAGAGGTTTGGGCATATATTCCTACTGCCTTGGCCTACTGTCTGCTGAAGATCATGTCAAGAATGGCCTCATTGAAATAAATGGTGTCTCCAGAGTTTCATTCAAACTAAGCCTTAGAGAAAACAGAGAAGGCTTTCTAGAAGGGAGGGGTGACTGCACAAGCAGATCACACTTTGGGGGTATTCTCCATAAATTTCTTAGTGTCTCACTTCTGGCGCCCTAACAGAAAGCTTCTCTTGGTTATTGGGAACTCACTTAAATTCTTTTTTTTTAGTATAGATAAGACATGCTGCCATCTCATTAGTAAATTTATTGGAAACTAAATGATAATTGTTAAATGTTTACATGTATTTACCAAGCACAATTATGCTTGTTTGTAAACTTAAGCAATATTTCTTAGCTAAAAGCCTATGTGTACATATCCACGTGGGTTAAGTTGCTCTTATACCACAACTCTGCTTAACGTTATGCCCTGTAATTTTCCACTGGCGTCTTGTGTGTTCAGTTGTCTCATAAACAGATATATGAATGGAACTGGGCAAACCACATTTCCAAATGAAAAACAATCATTTGAGCAGAGTTGCAAAGAACAAAAGTTTAATAAATACTTTAAAATCTTTTGTGCTTTGTAAGTTAAATATGTGTTGATTTTGTCTTAAGTTCTTATCTCTAGGGTACAGGCTTCATCTGTTCTATGTCTCTATATTCTAATAAGAGTTGAAGCTCTAAATGTTTCTAATGTATTTTACGACACGTTCACATTTTTCAATTCCTTACTATGGAACACCTCAGACACTCACTCACATAGGCCCAGTGTGGCATATCTTTAATAGAAGAATGCAGATGCCATAAACAAGAAAAAATTATCCCGCACAGATATTATTTGGACATCCATACAGGGAAGCATTGCCTTAGGAATATTCATCAATATTTATAACAATATATCATAAATAAATATTTACCTTAATTATATTAATTAAAGATCTTAGATAATATATTTAATATAACATCTGATAATATATATGAATATACTACATATTAATATTTAATATAAATATTATATTAAATAAATATCTTAAACTTTTATATCAGTGGGATTGAGAACCAGAAATTGTCATAATGGAAGCACGTATAAAGAAATCATGTTACGAAGAGTGGAATGAATATTCCACAAACAATGTGAAGTAGACACTGGATTCCAGGAAGAAGGATAGAGAGCTTTTATCAAAATGAAAGGTTTTTATGACTCTAATTTTAGGCTTGTAAGAAACTACTCTTGCTGCAAAAGTCAAAAAGGCTGAATTATGGACGGTTTGGTATTCACTATCATTATTCAGAGGCCGGGCTGATTCTACAGATAAAAGTAATGGCTTTTCAGAAAACAGGCTGGACTTATTAACTAATGGGTTTATATGTTGCAGCTTTAATCATTTGCTAAAATTAGTAAATAAAATCTCCCATTAATTTTACATGGTAATGTTACTCTGTCCATCTTCTGATCTTCTTAAGGAGTTATTCTAAAATACATATTAATTTACTTTCGATGGATGTTAAAGCTTTTATTGTCTTTAATTTTAACTTTGTCATTACCTTTTATAGTCTTTAACTTTCAAGTTTTTTATGCTTTAGCATTAGGAAATCTTATTCTGAATTCTTGATAAAGTTATGTTGCATGAGGTTAACAGTATTGTTTTAAAAGTGATAGCATGTTGAAATATCTGTTAATTATTGTGTGTGTGTGAGTGTGTGCATGTGTCTCCATATTTGATGCAAATTTCCTAGAAAACACAACTTAGTTTTTGTTCTAAGACTGTTTGTATCACAGAACTTAACACTGGCCTTGCACAAATATCAGGTAATTTTATTACTAACCGTTCCTCTTGGAGGAAATAAAAATCATGTAGTGGAATTAAATGAACTTTCAAAACTCAGAAAAAATAAAAAATAAATACACGAAATCTTCTCATTTACAGAAGAATATGTGGGAGCTCAGAATGGTGAAATGATTTACCAGGAAATGTATATTTATTGAGGAGAAAAGTCAACTTCTCAGGTAGCCTATTGCACAGTGTGCCTGGATTCTCCCACATGCAGAATTATGCAAGAATCACTTCATAATCCTGCTTTAAAAGCCTGGCTACTTTGGACAAAGCAGTCAACCTCTCAATTTTTAACATGGGAGACAAGCTACACATTACCACATCTCATCCTTCTTCCTGATTGGTATTCCTGGTTTGCAAGATTTTCACTGCTGGATTGGCATCCCTGTCTTCCTCCTGTTTGTCCTGACCCTGCTGGGGAACAGTGTAATCATTGTTACTGTCAAGTTAGAGCCAGGCCTTCAGCAGCCTATGTATTTTTTCCTTTGCATGCTGGCAGTGAATGACGTGGCCCTTGCCTCTTCCACAGCACCCAAAATGCTTGGCATCCTCTGGTTTGATGCTCACAGGATTGACTTTAATATCTGTCTCACACAACTATATTTTATCTACACATTTTGCGTTATTGAGTCAGCCATCCTTGTTGCCATGGCTTTTGACCACTGTGTAGCTATTTGCATCCCACTGTGTTATACAACCATCCTGTCAACACCAATGGTTGTTAAAATAGGTTTAGTTGATATAATCTGAGCTATCTTTATGGTTTTGCCACATCCTCTTTTCATTAGTAAGCTACAGTATTACACCAAGTATGTCATCAATGATGCCTATTGTGAGCACATGGCTGTGAGGTTGGCCCGCGCCAGCATCTTCATTTACAGAGTATGTGGAATCTCTGTGGCCCTTTCAGTGATGATATTGGACCTAGGGCCCATAGCCATATCCTGTATCAAAATCCTTCAGGCAGTCTTTTGTCTCTCTTCCCAGAGCACCATCTCTAAATCAATGGGCACCTGTGCTACTCATGTCTGCACTATTCTTGTTTGTTACATACCTGCACTTTTTAGCTTTCTAATTCACTGCATTGTCAAGAAGGAATCTCGAAGTATGCACATAATTTTTGCAACTTTGTATCTTCTAGTTCCCCCGACAGTCAATATCCTGGCATATGGTATCAAAACCAAGCATATTGGAAACCAAGTGGTGGGTCCCTTTTTCTCAAATAAGAAAATTTCTATATCAAATAAGAAAATTTATATATATATATATATATATATATAAAATTATTATTATATATTTTGAGAATAGCCTGGGCAAAGTGGTAAGACCTTGTCTCTAGAGCACATTTTGGTAGAATCTGTCTGGCTCATAAAGCCATAATGCATTAACAAAAGTCATAACCCTACTCTCAATAGGTTATTTTTTTTATTCAGCTATGCTTTTTAGCAGATATATTTTGCATGTTTTTCCTCTATTTTTTGAAGTTTTTATGGTCTTTTTTTCTTTATTTTAGAAATAAAGGAATGCCTTTCTGTGGAAAATTGTCAATAAATACTAGAAATAATTGTTATATATTGTGATTATTTCTTATTATATATTGTTATATTTTGTTATAGTCACAATTATAAAATGAGTAGGCAAATTATTGTAACTATTTAAAATTTCTTAATACTTTAGACTCTGGAATTTATAATAATATATATTTTTTTCCAATTCAAACTCCCTACACATCCTGATGGAAAGTTCTGGAGTAAAAATAATTATTTTCAAGATAATTTTTACCGATTATGAAGATAATGATAATGTATTATCATTCAAATAATGATTACTGTGTGGCTGGTTGTTTATCAAGCTTTATACATGTGTTCACTTCTTTAGTACAGAAAGCTATGCCATGAGAGTGGTGTTATATTTGTACATTGGCATTGTACAAATTAGAAAATCAAGGCACAGAAAAGTCATGTAAGTTACACAAGGTAACTCATCTAAAGAGTAGCAATGCAGATTTTGAACTCAAGGCATCTGGGTTCAGAATACATGGCCTTAACTATTTCACAATATTGTTTATCACAACAGAAATCTTGAGCCTTTCATTCATTTTGTGAATCAGGAAGCTTATTCCTCTCAAAAGTTTAGGTTGTATTCATCTATATTTGCTCTTCTAATTCTAGATATTGGGGTAGATTTATTGAGTCTCCCTCACCTCCTGCACCTGAAACATTCTATCACAGTATTTTGACAAAGCCACAAAAAAGAATTGCTCCCATTTTACTCATGTTCAATCAATGCAGCCAGGAAACATGAAGACTGTGCTTTCAAAACTTAAGGAAAACTTGAAGAGTCAATAATTCTACTTGTCTGCATGCAATTTTCTTTACTTTAGATTCAGTGAATAACAATTTTTTGGTCATGTTTTTTAAGTGCCTAAATTGAAGCAATTTACTTAGTTAAGAACATGATTATTATGCTTGCAGCATAGAAACTATCTTTGAGTATCTCTCTCAAAGAAGCTCTGTTCAAAACGCCATTTTATTTTAAGACCATTTTCATAAGTGAGGGGTCTTTGAGTTGGAAATTATTGAATTTTAATAAACATTGGAGTATATTTTTCAAATATTTAATGGACATATGTGTGTTCTCACATGAATTAGCTCCTTATAATTTTAGCTTTTTATGTTTGTACCCTATAACCTTATTCTTATTTGTTGATTCATTGAATATGTATCATGTTAACTTTTGTATATAATTATATAGCAACTAGACGTGTTTTTTTTATACTAATGACATATTTCTCTACATTTATTCAATGAGTATATATTGAGTGGTTCTATCAGTCTTTAAGAGCTAGGTTCTGTGGAAAGAAAAGTCAAGTTCAAATCCTATTTTCGTTGTTAATAGCAAATTAATTTTATTTTTAACTTTGTACATCTTTGGTTCCATCACCTGTTAAATGAATAAAATAGTGTATGCACTTTATATGGTTAAGGTAATAATTAAATGTGACAGCGAATGGAACACAATTATCACAATAGTTAACAAACTCTTATTCCCTAATACTAGTGTCAGTGCTATAGCAGCCACTAGAAATATGTTGATCTAGATGTCTAACTAGATATTGCCACTAGAAGGTTCTATTCCTTGAACTCAATGCCAAAATTGGACATTTTGCACTTCTCCCCCTACCCAGACCATCTTACTAAACTTCTTATCTCAGTGAGTAAAACATCAAGTAATCAAAATTAATAAGAATCAATTATTGTCATAAAGCATACATCAAGTAAAATATATGCTAAAGTGATATAAGAAACTAATAAAAGAATAAACAAATTAATTAAAACACCATCAATGAAAATCCAGCATCTATACCAGATTTTGTAGAAAAAAATAAATTCAATGTAATGCAATTTTCAATTGTGCAGATGATTATGGAATGCCAAAAATAACACTGAGCTGGTGAAAAATTTATAACTATGGCATATGGAAGGAAATGCCAAGCAAGGCTGAGCTGAGTCTTGAAGAATGATGACGGTTTTACTAGGTACAAAAACAGAGCAAGGGTTTCCAAGTCGAGGTAACCTCACCATGAATGTGAAAAGAAATAGTAAGAAAAGTGAAAAGACATCCAGAAGTCAGTGATGTCATAAAAGTAAAAGGACAGTTTAAAGGAAATCATACACTTAGGAAAGCAGTGGAGCCATCTAATAAGGTTGAGGTCTGACTGTGTCACTATGAAATTTATTGGTCACCTTGAGAAATAAAGAACAATGCAGTCATAATGGTCACAGGCCTACATAATCTTGGCTCTACTCTAACTCCAAATTTCAATTTTTTATTAAATGGTAATACTGCATTTTGTATTCATAGAGAGTTAATTCTACACTTGATCAACAACACAGAATATGGGTATGTCAGGCCCATGTGACTAAAATAGGCAAAATCCAGGTTCTGCGTCTTTCTGTAAATCAAGTTTTATTGCAGAAGTGCTATATCCATTAATTTTTATGTTGTCTAATGAAGCGTTTGCACTAATATTATAAAATCTAAGTCACGTGAATCACTGTTTAGCTGTCTATAGTGACCTACCTTTTAGTTTCAAAGATTCTATCAAAATTTCTGTAAAAACCATATTACACAATCTACAAAAATATTTACAGCTAAACACTTGAAGAAACGGAGGTCTACTTTATTATTCAGTGTTTTCTACATACACACATTTATGTGTGTAATTTATTTTTAAGTTTAATTTTGGGAATACATATCGATTTCAATGATTAAATGAGCATATATCATACCAAAACACATGATTGCCCTTGAGAAATTAATAGATTTTCCCTTTAACTAATAGCTACGGTTATGACAATTTACCTTAAAATTTATTAATTTAATCAGATCTTAGTTCAAACTAAATATGTAAACCATGATATAAATGTATTTATTATTTTATCTCCTGTCCTAGTGAATTTCATGATTATGATTCAAATATACCTATATCTATGTTTGCATATCTATCTCCCTACCTATTTATCTTCATCTATATCTATCTATAGATATATGTAGTAAGTTGTGTAAATAGTGGAAAATTTGGGGTTAAAATGTATGCAAGAATTTTTATTTTAGTCCCAATGTATAAAGAGTTTGAAAATAACCAATTCCATCCTTACAGAAGAAAAAAATTTTGAAAAGAAAACCCTGAAAATCAATAAGTTTTCTTCAACTCATCAGATATATGAGGTTTAAAGGCCAATTGCTATCCCCAAATCTGCAGCCAGGCCAATACAGAGAATCAGAGTCAATATCAGTTTACCTTAAAAGATGCCACTAGAAATTTAAACTGTCTCGCTCTGCAAATATGTTAAAAGACAATCTTCTGGGAGAAAGAAAAATGTATATATCAGAGAAATCTACAAAAAGAAAGAAAGATTATTGGAAAATAATAAAGGTATATTAAAATATTTAATTTCACTCAGTTGATTTAATAGATAACCCATTTGTCAAAGCAATAGTAGTAACAAGACACAAGATGATTATAAAATAAAGATAAATGAAATAAATAGAACAAATACTATAACGGATGGGAGGGAGAAATTGGAAAAACTTCACTGTAAGGTACTTTCACTACCTATGAAGCAGTACAGTATTGTTTGAAAGTGAGTTTAGAGTAACTCTAAATGTGCACTGAAAACTCTAAGGCAACCACTGAACACTTTAAAGAAGTAAAATTGATATTCTAAGAAAGGAGAGAACCCAGAATCATGTAAAATGCTTAATTAAATCCACAGAAGAAAGACAGAAAAAAAGGGAAAATAAGAAAATAAAAAATAAAGAATAAAGGAAAGGAATAGAAAAGCATAACAAATGCTTGGCAGATATTAATCCAACTATATTGATAAATTCTTCAACTGTGAATTGTCAAAATGCATCAATTAAAATATAAAGATTTTCAGAAAGAAAAAAAAACTAAGATAAACCTGCATATTATAAGAAACTCAAGTTAAATATAAAAACACATAAAGGTTTAAAGTAAACATATAAAAATATATACAGTGCTAACTAGCCAAAAGAAGTTGGAGCAAATATATTAATTTCAGACAAGACAGAAATAAAGTGGGTATCACATTATGATAAAAGATGAACTTTCCAAAAAGACGTAACAATCATAAATGTGTATGAACTTAACGATAGAGAATAAAAATACGTGAGCAACATGGACATATCCACTATTGAAACTTGAACTCTCCTTTTTCAGTAAT